AGCAAAAGCTGGAGGCGTGTCAGAGGGCATCGGAAGGACCCTTGGTGTATTCTTGGCCATGTTCTTCCAGTACATTCTCCAGGAGAATTTCTGACAGCTGACTCTTGACAAAAAAAGTGTTTTGTCAGTTTCCATCAGTGTTGACTTAGTACTATTCCATCATCTTATCTAAATTTAATGAAGACATTTAGAATAACACAGAGAAAGAAACAGTCTTATCTCTCAGTTGCTGCAATAAATGACAGGTTAACGGGAGGTAAGCTATATATCTATTTAATGTAAATATTACACAGCAGAGAGTTTGAGTTGGGTGTTTATGGACCAGATTATCTTTGAGTAGGGAGAATGTGAAGTCAGACTGACTTTGTCCATCCTTGTTTTTCAAAATCAGGGGACAAAACGTAGATATTTTATAGTGGTCTCTGGATATCTTCAGAGATTTGTCCTTTAGAGTATACACAGTCAGCATCGTCATCATTAGACCTTGTCTCAGGAAGCACAAGGATGACCGGGACACTGTGAGAACCAAACAAAGGGGGGTGAGCTCCAGCAGCTAATCATGGCAAAGAAGATGGGAAGACAGGAGCTGCTCTGACAAGGTTGGCTTGTGGAGATTTTTCTCATCCTCAGCAATTAGCTCTGCCTGTAAGAATTGCTCCCTCCACCCCAATCCAGGCTAATTCACCTCCTGCTATTAAGGAAGGTCAAATAGCTTTCTTTACCTACTGGTTTTCAGGTGCCCTTAATTCAAAGTAATCGAGCATGGCAGAGTAGCTTTTTGAGATGGTGTGTTTGAACTCTTTCAGAAATACCCACTTGATGCTACTTGATGTCTCTGAGTACCAGGAAGGATGTGAGTGAAGGGTTAGGCGGAACTTGTCCATCCTTGTTTTTCAAAATCAGGGACTGAATGTGGATATTTTAGGATGGCTTCTAAATATCTTTGGAGTTTTATTCTTTTCAGTATACATACACACAAATAAATAACACTTCTCCTTGCTAGGTATCAGGCAGTACATATATCCAGAAATGAGCTCATGCTGGTCTATAGAAGGATTTCTAGTGGTTAGATAAAAGCTGGCTTTCCTCAGGAACTGGTGAAATGGGTTTCATCTGTCAAAAGGAGTCAGTTTTCTTTCCTCTGGCAGAAGGAACATGTGGCTTTTCACTAACATACTCTTATGGTTGCACATCAAAGCCCATGCTAACTTCCTATAGTCCATATTCACAAGTGCTGGCTCCTCTGCTCTCCTCTCTCTTTATGTATCTCTCCTCCTTTTATCCTTCCCTTTCTTTCTCTCTCTCTCTCCTCTCACTGTGTGTGTGTGTGTTTTCTCTCTCATATGGCAGCTGAGAGCTGCTTCCAATAAACCTGCATTTATATATTATAATTTTGTCTTGCAATTAGCTCAGTCTTCCATTTCAATCAATATCTATAATAAAAACCTTCCTCTTGATCACACCTTGGGGGGGTCATGTCCTCAGTCTATATATCTGGTACCAAAATCCTCAATTTATATGTCTGGTGCCAAAAGAAGTATGTAGCCTGTGGATAGTGATGATGACATCTGCTCTCGGACGAAAGAACTCCTCGACCTTTCTTTTTTACCACCCTAATCAATAAGTGACTTCCCTTCCTCTTTCAATTCTCTATTTCCCACTAACTAAGGGGGAGGCAGATTTGAGTACTGGCCTGTGATTTCCTAATCTGAAAAAATGTATTCTGCAACCAAATTAAACAGTGCTTGCTTCATTTCAGTCTTGTGATTTCTTGGCTTACATAGACATAAGTACATAAACTACTGGAATGTAAAAACCAAGCTTATGCCATAACTGCTCTCCATTACCCTCACTTCCACAACAGCTTCATAGATCCCAGGGACGTTGATTTTACTTGGACACCACATGAAAAACAATCTTAAATTTCTTCATTGAAGAGCTTTTTCTTCCGGGACGGGGGATGTAGTTGGTAGAATGCTTACCTTGTATGCATGAAGCCATGGCTTCCACCCCTAACACCACCTAAAGTGATGTGGTGTGCATGGCTGTTATCCTCATGCTCAGAGGTGGAGCCAGAGGAACAGTTCAAGATCAGAACAGTTAGAGAGAAGAGGCTTCTGCTACAGAGAACTCTCAGCCCCAAAGTGTTACGCCCAGTACGTGAAACCACCAGGAATCGACTCCATTGCAAATACATGAGGGTTTATTGTATACATGCTTGAACATGGGTCACAAACTTTCTGTTGAAGCAGGAGAGTAATGAGGCCCTGCGGTCTAGGGAAACAAGGTTTTTAAAGGGAGAAAAAGGCAAGCAGGGACTTATGTGCTTTGGCATTACATGACTGGGCAAGGGAAATTGACTTTTGAAATGATTGATTTACTTTAGATGCCAAGACAATAAACGGTTCTGGCCTGGCCATCTGGGCCACTTTACTAGCAACTGTACCTCTAGTGGGCAGGAAAAGAATTCGATAAAGCTAGTCTATACCTGGCTAGCCTTCCTTCAGGCTTGTGCTTTAAACTTTAAACCAATACCCAAAATTCTTTGGTCTCTCAAAGTGAAGCAGGGTAGGGTTTTTTGAGTTATAAATGCTGTCATTGCCTCACACCAAATACTGGCTGAGAGAGTCATCTCACCTGGGGTGGGGAAGGGGGGTCCTCCTTGTTTGTTTACAAGGAATCACTTTCCAGCAGGGAAAGAGAAACCCTTTGATCTGTACACTTTATAAACTTCATAAGAAACCCTATGTTTACAGATCAGGATGTGGCTCCCTAGGAGGGAAGGTGTAACCTGGCCTCTCCTAAGTCATTTGTGTGTTTCCTCCAAAAATACTTGTAGTTTTGGTTTATCTTTGGTTCTGTTCTCTTTGTTGGGATATATTTAAAAATATGTCACACATATGATAGATTTGATATGAAAGACATTTATTGGATGGAGATGTGGAGAGAGGGGGAAGGAAAAAGAGACAGACAGACATGGTGGAGGGAGACAGGGGTACCCCTACAGAGAAAGGGAGAGAGCAGAGAGGAGCAGGAGCAGAAGAGAGAGAGAGAGAGAGAGAGAGAGAGAGACTGGCCACTGAGTACCTGGCCCAGATGATGTCATAGGATGCAAGTACTGATATAGGACATTGTCAGGACCCTGAAGGTCCCTAAGGGCAGGCCAGTTGAGTTGCCTGAACAACATAACACTCTTCTCACCTTTAATACTCCAGACCAGGCCTGGAAGATGGTAGAAGATGGCCAAAAGTGGCAGAGCTCATCCTGGAGGTCTCCTCCCTGCTCACGCCGTCTTCCCTTTATTCTCCAAATCTCCTATAAACTATTCTGGAAGATATTCTAAAGAATGACAGTTGTACCCCACTCTTTGGCTGCCTACAAGACTATTGAGGCAACGGACCCTGTCTTGGGTAGGGTTACAGTTACTGTGATGAAACATCATGACAAAAAGCAAGTTGAGGAAGAAAGGGTTTATTTGGCTTACCCTTCTATATACTGTTCATCACTGAAGAAGTCAGGACAGGAGCTCAAACAGTGCAAAAACCTGAAGGCAGGAGCTGATGCAGAGGCCGTGCTGCTTACTGGCTTGCTCCCATGACTTGCTCAGTCCACTTTCTTATAGAACCCAGAATCACCAGCCCAGGGATGGCACCACCCACAGTGAGCTGGGCCCCATCAATCACTAATAAAGAAAATGTTCTTCAGCCAGATCTTATGGAGGCATTTTCTCAGTTGAGATTCCCTCCTTTCAGATAACTCTAGCTTGTGTCAAGTTAACATAAAACTCTCTGGTATAGGTCTCAGTGAATCAGAATTTCCCCAGGCTTTCCTCATCTGCAGCCAAAGTGCTAGGCTTCAACGAAGCTGAGATGCTTTGGGGTGAGTCTCTGAGCTCTCCTGCATCTACCTGCTCTCATCCTCTACAGTGACGAGGTGACAGTAACAGAGGATAAGATTAGTACTCTCATTAAAGCAGCTGCTGTCATTGTTGACCCTTTCTGGCCTGGCCTGCTTGCAAAGGTCCAATGTCAACATTAGAAGGCTCATCTGCAATGTCAGAGCTGGTGGACAGCTTCTGCCCCTTCACCATTGCTTCCCCTGCTGAGAAGACAGTAGAAGCAAAGGATAGAAAATCTGAGGAGTTTGATGATGACATGGACTTTGGTCTTTTGGGCTAAACTGTTTTTTATTAACATGTTTAATGAAAAGCAGAACCTGTAAAAACAAATAAGAAGCAAAAGGACTTCTCCAAGAGTCTTCTGCCAGGGAAAGAAAAGGCTTGGTGGGGCGTTGTGCTAGTCAGAAGGAGAGAGTTGTCTCCTGGAACAAGGTTTCATGCACTTGTGACAACTTGTCAGACCACCTTGCAGGAGAGACAGGAGTCAAGACAGTGATAGGCCAGTGATGGGTGGGGCTGCTTATTTATGCATCCCTCTTATCCACCACTGAAGCCTAAAGTTCATGTCAGAACCCTAAAGATGAAATCAGGGGCCACTGGACTCTATTTGTTCTTTTTCCCAATTAACTGTATTGAATACATTGCCCTCCTCTGCTTTTTGCTATTATTTGTCCCTTTAATTGGCCTACTGAAGATGAGTGGCTGAGTTTGGCTTGGTAAGACTGCCACAACCCAGGCTTCTTATTTCCTCTCTGCTTCCCAAGAGAGGCACTGTTGGGAGCTCTGAAATTCTGGCTACCACCAATTTGGTTCAATACTAAAGACAATCTGTTTCCCATGATTCCCAAGACTGCTATGCTCCCTTTTGTTAACTTCCAGGTTGTAACTGATACAAAGAGAATTCTCACAGGTCACAAAGCTTGTGCCGTGTATGTGCCATTGTCCCCATGCCTGCTCTGCTGCCCCTTGGGAATCGGCACATGAGGTTCAAATGTTGTTCTCTTTCCTTGGCAGCCCGGGGAATTCCCATCCAAGCTTACAATGCCCTTGTTTTGACCTAGATTTACTCCACCCATTTGTCTTAGAAACCAACCCCTTTACAATCCTCATAAATTCCACGTCACAGGGACAGAGTGACTGCAGAAACTGGCTTCCAATTTGCCCTGAAGTTCAAACTTCAAACTACAGGTAAGTAGCCTAGAGGTGGCTAAGTAACTATTTCTACTTAAGAGTGAGAACTGAGAGAGTCAAGGCCAGTAACACTTGACTGACACCAACTCCAGAAAAACTGGGCCAGGCAAACAGCTGGAGGCAGGGGTGGAGGCAGGGCGTAGTCATGTATAAAGAACTAGTGGGTGGGAGGACAGAGCCCCTGAGTTGAGGAAGGGAGTGTGCTTTAGAGTACCCCTTGAGTCCTTTATAATCCCAGGGTCAGGCACTGGACCAAGATGCCCTATATTGTTAAGATAATGAAACTATCAGCCACAGCCCCCAATGCCAGTAATGACCCAGGAATACAAGTTAGCCTCTGGCACATTCAAAATGAACTTCTGATGGGCCGTTTGAACACTAGCTACAAATGTGTTCTGTTTCTCCAATGTGCTTTATACGAAAGAAACCCCAGTATTTAGCATACTACCAAGAGTTTAGGTGACAGTAGCCTACCACCTAGAGAAAAGAATGGTTTCTTCTCTTCAGTAAGGAATGAGGTATAACAAGGTCAGCACTTTGAAGACCTCTCATCAAAGGGAAATCTTCCTGACTCACCCAAAAAATGGGGCTGTCCTGAGGAGGCTGAGGTGGGAGAGTGTCCTGGGAAGGCTGAGGTGAGGGAGGTGCTGGGGAGGCTGAGGTGGGGTGTATGTGCTGGGGAGTCTGGTTGCTGTAGCTCTTATGAGCGTTTGTCCTGTTTTTTCATTTCCCTTTCCCTGTCATGATCCTCAGAGCAGCAAAGCTACCATGGGTCTGGAGAAGTCCCTCATCCTGTTTCCATTGCTCGTCCTGGTGCTTGGATGCGTCCAGCCTTCCCTGGGCAAGGAATCTTCGGCCATGAAGTTTGAGCGGCAGCACATGGATTCAGCTGGTACTGGAAGCAGCCCCACCTACTGCAACCAAATGATGAAGCGCCGGGAGATGACAAAGAGGTCATGCAAGCCTGTCAACACCTTTGTGCATGAACCCCTGGCAGATGTCCAGGCTGTCTGCTCCCAGGAAAACGTCACCTGCAAGAACGGGAAAAGCAACTGCTACAAGAGCAGCTCTGCCCTTCGTATCACTGACTGCCGCCTGAAGGGCAACTCCAAGTACCCCAATTGCGACTACAAGACCAGCAACTACCAGAAACACATCATTGTGGCTTGTGAGGGGAACCCCTATGTGCCCGTTCACTTCGATGCTTCCGCATAAGTTTCCGCCTAGGCCAAACCTGTCTCCCAACCTCACCATATCAACACCTGCCCCTCCCCTCTCTCATTCTTTCCCGGAAAGAAGTAACTTGTGGTAGGGCTTCCATGCCATGAAACATGCTTCTCTTGCCCTGTGTCACCCACCCGGATCCCTCTCTCGCCCTCCGGTTTTCTGCCATAGACAAATGAAGCAAGACGGCCCTCACCAGAATTCGTCCCTTCACCTTACACTGCCTTGACTTCAGAACCATGAACCAAATAAAATTCTGCTCATTATAAATTGCCCTGTCAGAGGTGTCTTTTAAGGGCAGTTCACAATGAACCAAGGACAACAGGAGAGTCACCTCACTGGTCCAGATCTTCCCCTCCAGAGTCTTCAGCCTCCTCTGACCCACTGACGATTCAGTCTTCCCCTACTTTTCTTTGCAGTGAAGTCTGACTTCTGTTTCTGCACCCAGCAGCCACCATTGTCAGCTCCTCGTACCAATACAGATCAGTCACATTTAGCTGAAGGGAGGAGTCCTTTCACGGAGAGAGCAAAAGAAGCTTTGCTTTTGCTCTGCCCTTCACGGATCTTCCTCCATCCACATTTCACTCCTGTAACCTTTCGGTATTTCTATGCCTGCCCTTTTCTCGGTGTAAGTGCAAGGCAGCTCCCAGACTTGCCTTTCAGGGGCTGCTTCCTACCCTCTTGCCTCCTTAGGCTGACTCAGACCAGCCTGTCAGCCTTTTCTCCTCATCTTCCCTTTTCCTCCCACTGCTGTCGACACAGAGTTTTTTGTGCCTATGGGGCAGTAGGGAGCCAGACAGGCAACATCCAGGAGCTTCTCCTCAAAGGAGGAACCACCTGTGTTCTGTCCAGAAGGCTGGCGTGGATATTGACACCGACTTGATGACGTTTTTGATGTCTGTGGAGACAGAACTCACCCAAACCCCACAGAATGTTTAGTCAAGACTGTCCCACCCTAGACCTTTATCTTTAGCCCCTAGTTATTAGAGTCCATCCTTAGGGGCGGTGTCACACTATTTCATAGCCTGCTTATCTATCTCTGTGTTACTGCTCAGAGACCACACCAGGTTCTAGGCCTTTTAGCTATAGAACCCACCCTCATGGTCACATGTACTTTTAAAATTTATTATTATTACAACATTATGATTTTTTTATTATTATTATTTGGTAATCTCACACCGTGAGCCTGGATTTCACTCACCTCCCATTCTTTCCATGTCTCCTCCCTCACCCCTGCCCCATGACCTTCCCTACTTAAAAAAAAAAAAAAAAAAGACAAGTCTATTTTGTGTTGTCCATATATGTATTGGAGCATGGTCAAATTCCTAGTATCCACCCCCACCCCCAGGGAGGATAAGGCTTTCTCGCCTGCATTTGCACCTGAAGCCATCTGCTGAGGAGAGTCTTGGGGTGGCTGGAGTGGGCTGCAGTGGGACTAGCTTTCCCGCGCCTAGGCCACCACCTGCACTGCAGTGCTGTGAGCAGGTGAGGAGCTAGGCCAGCTCTCTTGTGCCCAGGGCCACCACTGCCACCGAGAGCCAGAGCCAGTTCCTCCACGAGGGGGGAGGGAAGGCCACCTCTCCTGCTGGAGGAGGGACCAGATCTCCAGAGAGGGGCGGGGCCAGCTCTTCGGCGCCCATGTTTATATATAAAGGTGACTTCTGGAGGCAGCCCCGACCGTGGGTATCTGCCTGGGTAACACGGGCCACAGACATCAACATGGTCTTGACGTATCAGGACCACTGACCCACTCACGGCCCTCAGCAGCTGCATGAATCATGAGTTCACCCCGGCCTTAGGTGGTTACACACCGCATCCCCCGTCCTGAGCCCCCGGAGACAGCAAATCCCAAGGACATCACCAAGGCGCAGGGCAAGCGGCACAGACGTGCACGCACCCACATGGGACAGCAGCATAGAGCACCGACAGCAACAAGGCATCCTGTGGTACGGAGGACCACCGTGATCCTTCGAGGTGGTCCAACCCAGAAAGGGAACTTTCCTCATCTCTGGCCTCCTTTGTGGCCCAGAGCCAGGGTCTCCCGTGGCTGGGCGGCAGATCTAGGAGCTTAGTCTGTGCCTGCGTAAGTTCCAGGCTGATGTACTTCCCGCAGACCTCAGGCTCCTCTCCCACCTGTCTCCGTCATCCCATTTCCAGCTCCACCTCTGGTCCTAGTACATGACCTGCTCCAGGCTTTACTGTGCCCCTGTAATCGGAGTGTTTATTGCCTGGAAATCTGGACTAGGAATGACTGTTGCCTTGAAACTTTTTTTTTTCCCAAATCGTACTATGTTTTAGAAGTGTGGACAGTGCACTGTGTGGCATCAGACTCCTCAGCTTTGATCTGGGCTGATGAAGTCAGTCCTAACCAAGTTTTCATACTCATCTCTTTGTGGGTCACTGCCTGCATTGACAAGCGTGAGCACCACCAAATGATTATTTAAGGAGAGATGGATGGGGTAAAAGGACCAGGGTTATTTGAACACAGGGACGAAAATCTGTTTATGTTGGAAAGTGAATATCTTAGTCTGGGTTTTATTGCTCTGAAGAGACACCGTGACCACAGCAACTCTTATAAGGAAAAGCGTTTAACTGGGGCTGGCTCATAGTTTCAGAGGTTCAGCCCGTTATTGTCGTGGTGGGAAGCATGGCAGTGTGCAGGCAGGCCTGGTGCTGAGGAGGGGCTGAGAGTTCCCCATCTTGGGGGATGCTGTAGGATGCAGGTAACGACAAAGGACATCGTCAGGACGCCAAAGGCCCCTGAGGGCAGCCAGTTCAATTGCCCGCACACCAACGTAACCCTGCCAGCACCTTGATCTTGGCCTTCCGGATTCTAGAACTGTGAGGGAACAACTTTATGTCATGTCGGCTGCCTTGTCTGTGGTATTGTGTTCTGAGGCCTTAACAGACCCTCGAAGCAATCTTCCTGCTTTCCTGTATTAAACCTGTTTATTGCTTGAATCAGTGCTGTGTACCATCCCCTTATCTCCTACTTCCTCAAATGACTCCCTTCAATGCTGATATCACATCTCTTGGATTATGTCAATGTTTGGTGTTGCTAACAATGGAAAGAAAGGCTCCATTCTTCACTTCTTCATCCCAAGAATATTCATTACTTTTTTTTTCATGGCATTAAGAACAGAACTGTAGAAATCTGCTAAGAAAGCAGCAGAGGGGGCATGTATCTAGGTTACTAGGCACAGTTCATAAAGAGGCTCAGGACTCCACGTACTCTCTGAGTATCCTTAACCTCAGGGTCCCAAGTTTTCTGTAGTAAAGGACTCAGCCTTGTCATTCAGAGTGAGTTTAATGCTGCCTGCTTCTCCACTGCCCTTGCCCTCCTACTGTGTCTAGGCCAGTAGACAGAGTAGTTTCTCTCCCCACGACTTGTGAAGAACTAGAAGGCCTTTCTCTCCCCATGACTTGTGAAGAACTAGAAGGCCTTTCTCTCTCCACGACTTGTGAAGAACTAGAAGGCCACCTGTCAGCATCCCAGGGGTTCGCACAGCGGTGCTGATGCTCCTTTACCCCAGGACGTTAGCTTAAGAAACTGTAGCTGATAACAACTTCTTCACACACCCCAACCCTGCAACATCAGATGGAATAATAGAAGATGAGTCCAGAGAATCCTAAACTGCCTCACAGCAAAAGAAAAGATTAAAAAAAAAAAATACTGTTTTCCCTAACAAGATTATTTTATTTTCAAATAAATGAACATAGATTTTTTTTTCTACAAAATATATTCTGATCATGGCTTTCCCTTTCCCATATATTCTCTAGGTTAAAAACAAAACAAAAGAAAGCAAAACAAATTCACCTCATATTATCTAAGTTGGAAAAATGGGGAAAAAAAATCAATGTCTGAGAAACCAAACAAGATAGTGACAGTCAATATTCATTGTCAGCTTGGCAGGCTCTAGAATCATCTGAGAAGCCTGTGGGTTTGTTTCTAGATTGTGTTCAGTGAGAAGAGCCCTCCTGAGTGTGAGTGACACACTCCACAGGTGGAACAGGAAGGAGAAGGCCCGTGGAGCAGCAGCACTCTTCACTCTGCTTTCCTACCGCAGAGTCAGCGTGACCTCGCAGGCACGCTCCCCGGGTACTTGGTCACAGCCTTGAGGAGTAACTAACGAGGTAGGAGTGCCTGTTGCTCACACTTGAAATCTCAGCACAAGCGAGTGCTCTTGGCAAGGCCTAGTCGTCTTCTTCCCAGAGCTACAAAGAAAGAAGGAGCAGGTAATCCCAGCACTAGTGAGGTGGCGTCAAGGATCGGGGATTCACACCCAGCTTCAACTCCACAGTGAATCCTAGGTCACTCTGAGGCACATGGGTTTGTGTCTTAGAAGGGACGGAGCGGGGGGGGAACTGTGGGAATGAGATCAAGTTTAACCCAGAACAAAGAGATTAATAAAAACCAGCATAGAAATCAATGAAAGAAGATAAAACAATATTTCTTAAAATTTTTTATGTCTGTGTACCATGAACATGCCTGGTACTCCTGGAGGCCAGAAAAGATCCTTTGGAGCCATAGTTACAGATGGTTGTGAGCTGTCATGTGGGAGCTGAATTTTTTTTTTTTTTTATCATATGAGTACTCTTATCTGAATGTACACCTGCATGCCCGAGAGGGCACCAGATCACATTATAGATGGTTGTGAGTCACCATGTGGTTGCTGGGAATTGAACTCAGAACCTCTGGAAGAGCAGACAGTGCTCTTAACCATTGAGCCATCTCTCAGGCCCCAAACAATAAATTTAATAAAAATAATGACTCAAGGCTGGGAGGAAACCCAGCAAGGGGGGGGGGCAGCTCTGCCAGCTGAGGCTCATTGTTTCTAGCACAAGAGACCCTACTTCCCAAGTGTGTCTCTGAGAGGAATTGTTACACCCGGGGAGCCTGGAACTTTTTATTGCAAGCAAATCCTCATTAAACGTGTTCTCTTATAAGAATTGTCATGCTATAGTGTCCTTTCACAGCAATAGAACATTGACTAAGACATCTAGCTCATGTCATAAAACTTGACATAAAACTAGCCAGCATATGGTACAAATATGGACTTGAGGTCAGAGGCCTGAGCCTAGAGCCTCCACCTTTACCGGCTTGGCTGTCTTTAGATCTGTGTGCCTACATCCACATGTCTTGTATACAGCCAGTGTGTGCCTGGTGCCTGCTGGTGGCAGCCCACCTGGCAGCTTTAGGCTGGAGTGAAAAATGACTGAGTCCTCAAAATCTCTCCAGCTTCTTGGCCTCCAGTGACCTTCCTCCTTTCCTGAAATGGAGACATGGTCCTCGCAGGGCAAAAGGGAAGGAAAACTAGCTGGAAGAAGGGACTGAGCAAGAAAGAATGAGAGGATAAGAGAAGACAAATAGTGAATGAATATGACTGTAATTGTCAAAGTGGGTTTTTTTTTCAATTTAATATTAATAATTTAATAAAAGTGTTAATAACCACCTTTGGCTACATAGTGGTGTTGAATCCACCCTAACCAAATCAGACCCTTTCAAAACAACAACAACAACAAAACCAAGCAACCAAACAACAACAACAAAAACTAAACAAGCAAAATTCACCCTCATTATACTGAAAAGAAAATGGTTTTATTTTTATGAGCGTAGTACAATAAAGCTTGACCCAAAACAGCGCAGGATAAATTGTTCAGACGCTTGGACCCTCTTTATTCTAATCCTATGCTACAGAGCAGAAAATAATCCATTTCCTTCTCTTTTGGGGGCAAGAGGAGGTATGGTGATTGAACTCAGGCATGAAGCAAGTACTCAGTTACCGAGCCACATCACAACCCACGCACCCTATTTCTTTTTTCTTGACTCTACTCTGACAGCTTCGGCATTTGAATTCTTCTGGCACCTTCCCCTTCCTGTGGGAACAAAAGGCAAAGTGGAATAAACTGTGAGAGAATCTGTGTCAAACAGAAGAAGAGTACCTAAGCCTCAGGTACGATCTTATCTAAGTGCACAGGAACCAGCGGGTAGGGAGGGTCCTCCTTCTTTGGGTGCTCGCAGGCCACGATGAAGAATCTGTCGTGTTTAGCGTTTTTGTAGCGGCAGTGGGGGTAGGCCCCCCCCCGGTGTGTAGACAGTCAGTCATGCTGACAGGCTTTGCACTTTGGTGGCAGTTTTTCCAACCGTTCTTGCAGGTGATACTGGGCAAACCACAGGTGGCAGCCACATTCTGGAATGATTCATGCAGAAAGGTGTTTTTTGGCTTACAGTGACGGGTATAATTGTTGACACCTTGCATTGCTTGGTTGCACTGCTGAGGACTTATCTGTACGTGCTGGATTTCAAACCAGCGAGCCCTGGAGAGGCCCTTCGGCTGGGTGCAAAGGGGACACGCTGGCTCCCACAGCCCCTGGATCAGGAGGAGAGGAAGGCACCTGGGAAGAGCTAGCACCATGCTTTCTGTAGAGGAAGAAGGAAGATCTCGGTAATGAAAGAAGCGGTGAGAACAAACGTTTATCATGATGAGTTTGTTGATTATTTTTCTTCCTTTCAAGATTTCGTAGCTCTTAGAAAGAAAGAAAGCCGGTCTCGTAATTCTATGAAAACTCTGTAATCCCGGTGAGGAAGACAGGAGCAGAGCAGGCTGCCCTGGCTGTTACCTCCCATCTTTCTCTCAGACCTGTATTCATACGTGTTCATATGTGTGGGATCATAACACGAAGGTCCTTGCACCCACAGATAGCCAGAGAAACCAGGAATGTTAAGCACACAGGATTGTCTTTCTAATGGAAGACATGAGAAACCTGTTTTTCCACCGGGGAAGCTGAGAATTGGAAGTGATTAACGGCCTGGTGATCTGTGTGATCTGTTGGGCCAGGCTGTGTCAGGGGGCGGCTAGTAATATAAATGCCTCTTATAGCCAGAGGCTCCCCTAAGATTACCACAGCTAAGACCAGAGGTCACTAATAGCCCAAATGACCTCTGTATGATCAAGACCAGGCCAGATCCTTAGGCCCTTAAGCTAATACAGGTAGCTGGGTTTAAGACCCTACCAAAGCAGACCTGGCCTCTGAGGTTCTCCCAGCATCCTTTGTTCCCTACCAGTTACAGGATGTGTCTGGCATACCCTGAACTTTCCAGCCCAGGGGCAGGGGCATCCCTTCACTATATCATTCAGATATTTTTGATTTTTCCTCTTCTCTCTGTTTCTGTGTCTCTCCTCTTCCTCTTCTCTCCTCTCTCTGAGTCTCTCTCTCTCTCTGTCTCTGTCTCTCTTTCTCTCTCTCTCTCCCTCCCTCCTCTTCCTGCATGGCGGCAAGAGCTGCTTCCAATAAACCTGCATTTATATACTTGACCTTGTCTTATATTAGCTCATATCGCTGTCCCAGAAGGTTTGTCAATAGCCTATCTCTAGAGTCCATCTTCTTGGAAGAAATGACAGTACCCTGAGTTGAGTTTCAGTGTAATTACGCTTCCTTGTGTACTGGAAACTGTTTCCCCAGTACTTCCTTGTACACAGGGAAACTCTCCCCTCCTCCCCCCCAAATTATACTGGATTTAAATACGTTGTGAATAAACTAGCTGTTACAAGACACTCCCCACCAAGTCTGGTCAAGGTTGTCAAAGCCAATCTGCACCGGGTTTTCATCCTTATCTCTTCCTGGGGTTGGCTTTCCTGTACGGCACCGACAGGGACAGATTCCACCTGCAATCCCTTCTAATATGTTTACCTTTCCTCTCCGACCAGCACCTCCCAGCCAGAGCCACTGCCTGGCCAGAGCCCCAGGAAGTACCTCCCTTACCCCGAGTTTTTGCTGGGTTCCTGCTGTGAACAGGGGCGGTTGATCAGTCCCGAGTTCTGAGTGTTTCGGCTTGCTTTTCTTTTTCAGGCCAGTCACAGCTGCCTAGGTGGGGCAGGGCTAGAAGTATTTATTCTTAAGCCTATGAAAGAGAAACCTTAGAATTTGCAGAAGTACAGCGGGGTAAGACTCTCTACCTCCCAGTAAGTTTCGGTGTCGGTGAAGATAAAGAATAAATTCAACTTAAGAAACAAGCAGGCTCAAATCTCCGAGTTTTAAGGACCTGACCACTTGCTGAACGCTTGGTGCTTCCTCTTAGACTACAGCTTCAGTTTTTTTGAAGCTCTATGATTTCAGATTCTTAACAATAACAACAACCAAAAATTACTTTGTATATTTGTATATTAGTTGCCACAAACTTGGTAGCGTGAGTTCCTGCAAGTACACTTGAAGACATCATTTCTTTGTATATATGTTTATTGGGCCAGGCTACTCATATTTGGAAGTTTACAGTATAATGAAAGACAGGCAGGTAAATAAATAAGCATGTTATAAAGCAATAGGCATGAATAGCTTATTTATTTAGTGATTCACTAAAGGGGACAAGAGCTATTGGAAGAAACCCACCCAAAGCTGTGCTTTGAGGAGTAATTAGTTAGGTGAAGAGAGTAGGAGGGACCTTTAAAGTGAGAGTTGTGTGTGAAAAGATCCAAAAGCAGGAAGAAGAGAAAGCACAGGGTATTTACTTTTGAATCTGTTTTTTCCTCCCTGCTGGTCTGATACTTCAGGGTTGCTGCACCTCCTCACCCCATGGAAGGGTCCCTACCTGTGGCCTTACTTCTTCCTAATCAGTTCTGCATTCTTTCTCCAGGCTGGCAGAGTTACAACAGTACACTTTTATTCAAAGGTGTTTTTTTTTTTTTTTTTTTTTTTTTTTTTTTTTCAGATGGTGTCTTGGTATGTACCCAGGCCTGCCTCGAACTCAGTAGCCTCCTTCATCCTCCCCCTTCTAGTGCTAGGACGCAGGTGTATACCACCATGCTCACTTTGACTAATATCCACAGGGATGTTTTGTATGTAATTTAACTACTGGGGTTGAGTGTGACAAGTTCCCCACAGATCTGAGGGTTGGAATACTCTGGCCCCGGCTGGTGGACTGTTTGGGAAAGCTGTGGAGCCTTCAGGCGTTCGCATCAACACAGTCACTCCTTCGGGGGAACTGTTCTCAGTGTACAGGGAACACGGAATATTAGTCTTCCTGTCAAACACTGTAGAGCTTTGGTTTATGCCAGCGCATTAAAAATTTTTAATATCCCCTACCTGGTAAAACTTCTGTTTATACAAAGGTCCTGCTGCACTCCAGATCTTGAGATGCCTGCCCGTTCTCGCTTTCCTTCATTTCCTTTGTGCCAATTCTTTTAAAACTAAGCAACCAGGAAAGACTGGCATTGGAACTCAGCCAGTGGGGAAAGGACACAGAACTCTTGAATTAAGATAAAGACTATTGGGTTTCTCACTCTGTGGGGTTACCCTTCCGTTTGTGTGGGCAGCTCCCCCTTATACATAAAGGTTTGCCTTGTCATGAGGCTTTCATTGGATTGGTGGTGCTTTCTTTCTAACAGGTAGAAAAGGGAAAGCAATCATACTGTGTGTGCTAGTCTCTTAGTTACTGCTGCTCTGACTAGGGAAAATAAAGAAAAAGCATCGAGAAATCACAGTGAGATCAGTGATTAGCATTCGGTGGGAAGTAGAAAAGAGAGATGCACTAGAGAAGAGGAAATGGTAGAGGCAAGGAAAAAAGAAAACAAAGAGCGAAGACATTTTAGTTGAAGATAGACTTGGGTGAAGATACGCCCTCAGGTACTGTAGACCAGTCTCATTCCTCAGGAAATTGAGTCACCAAGGCTCTGTATACCAGGAAAGGAAAGGAAAAGAAAGGGTTTGGGATAAAGAGAAGGAAAAGTGAGAACAATAAAAAAAAGAAAGGAAAACCAGGAAAGACATAACCCAGATGACGGACTAGGGGCTGGAGACATCCCTGACTGATAGATAAGGAAAATGATAGAGAGCAAATATGACAAGCTTCAGGCTTCTTCCTCACCGCCCTGATCTGAGGCAAAGTCCAGGCAGCTCTTTTCTCCCACAAGCAGGGGACCCTTGCGCTGACGGTCAGGATAGGCCAGATATGTTCAAATTGGTCATAAATATGTATGCCCAAAGTTGTGGGCTGATAAGCTCTTTTTTCTTTGTTTTAACCAATCAATCAGCTGTGTGCAGTGGCTCATGCTTGTAATCCCAGCACTCAGCGAGGCAGAGGCAGGTGGATGTTTGTGAATTTGAGGCCAGCCTGGTTTACAAAGAGAGTTCAGGACAGCCAAAGCTACACAGAGAAACCTTGTCTAGAAAAACTAACCAACCAAACAACCAAAACCAAACACAAACAACAACAATAAACAAACAAAAACCCAAATCAATCAAAAGTTAGGGGAACGTCATGGTTCTCTAGAGGAACAAACATACACAGTCTTTCTCCCATTAGCTTGAAAAAATAGCGACCGACAGCTAAATCCTACCTGAGAGCTGAGAACCCAGCAGTTACTCAGTCCCTAAGCATTCAGAGTAGTCCCACGGTGGCTGTCTCTTATTGAGGGTGGGAAGGAGGTGACAATTGTAATTGCTCAGTCCATAGGACTGGGTACATCTGCAGCCCCAGTCTGGTGCTGGGAGTTCAGAAGATCTTGCTCCTTCCTTCCCTCACATCCATTGATTCCTATCAACGCAAGATTGCTTCCTCTCCCCTGCCATGTATCAGGAAATCAGAGATAGCCTAACTGCAGGAAACCTTCCCCTCTCTCTGAGACCTTAAGAAAGGACTCCCCTCCCCCATGGACTGAACTCTTCTCAGAGGCCCCTTCGTGCTGCTGTCTGTCCGCTGCTGTCTGTCCGTCTGTGTGGTTGCCCATGGTGTTATAACTCTTCTAATAAATCTCTTACCCAGTGGACCCCAAGCTCCCTCTTGAATTCCAAACCACAAATTTTCAGTCCCTGGGGATCTGAATTCAAGCCTTCATGCTTGTGCATCAATCACTTCACCAAGTAACCCCTCTCCCCAGGTCCTAAAGACAAAAGTCCTAGTGAGTGAATCAGTAAATGCTATCTGTTCATTTATGGTTGGTAGTGGGAACGTTTGGGTTTTTTGTTTGCTTGTTTTGTTTTCATTTCTAATTTGTTAAATGGGGCTAGAGAGATGCAGTCAGTGGCTAAGAGAACTTGCTGCTCTTGGAGAGGGCATGAGGTTGGTTCCCAACACCCCCCACTAGATGACTCACAATCACCAGAACTCCACCTTCTGGGAATCCAACACAGTTTGCCGCTGCAGGCACCCTTACACCTCTGCATTCCCCTATGGGGCTACTGGACTGTGCCTCCGAGGGAACTGGCAAAGAACTGGAGAGATGGAGCACGTTCAAACCCCGGAAACCTCAAACGCGAGATTTAAAATCTCACCCTGAGAAAGGAAGGTGTGACACAAAGCTCTCTCTCCCTGTTGCCGTGCCTGCCTCAGGAGCAGGCGACGAGTGGTCAGTTCCAGGTGGTCAGTCCCGTGAGCTTGTCACCTCTTCTCTTTCCCCATGAGCATAGCCGTGGTCCTAAGTCCCAGCAATGAGACGCCTTCATCCTCAAAACCTCTTCCCACTGCCCAAGGTTGTAAGTTCCTGTTTCACAGGAAATGAAGCAGCGAGCACCCTCTGCTTAGACTGGCTGTTTATTCTGAGCTGTGACACTGGGGGAAAGAAAGGGCTCCATTTCTCCCCCAAAAATTCATTGCTGGGCCCTCGGTCTCGAGGTCACCGCTGGAGCTCACTGGGCCTCAGAGCTTCTGCTGTTCGTTGGGATTACAAGCGGGGACATTCTTACTCAAACCTCCGCATCTGCTGCTGAACCATCTTGACTCCAGGGTGACTATTGCTGTGATTAAACACAACGACCAAGAGCAACATGAGGAGGAAAGGTTTTTTTTGCTTTTGTTTTTGTTTTTTACCAAAAAAGTCAGTGTAGGAACTCCAATAGGGCAGGAACCTGGAGGTAGAAGCTGATGCCGAGGCCATTGCGGACAGTTGCTTATTGGCTTGCTCAGGTTTACTCAGTTTGCTGCCTTATGGAACCCGGAACCACCAGCTCAGGGTGGTCCCACCCACAATGGGCGGGGCTCGCCCCCATTGCTCACTAAGAAAGAAAATGTCCCACAAGCCACTCCGCAGCCTGATCTTACGGAGGCATTTTTCTCAACTGAGGCTTCCTCCACTCTGACGACTCTAGCTTGTGTCAAGCAGATTTAAAATTAGTGAACACAGCATCCCAGGAAGGATTAATTTTGATCAGGGAGTGTTTCTGGCTTTCACACAAGTGACAGTTTAATGTTTGTCTTATTTGGTTTTTTTTTAAGTTTTATTTTTATTATTTTGACTATGTGTAGGCGTATGTCTGCATGCGCTCACATGCACATGAGTGCAGGTGCCTTTGGAGGCTAAGGGTGTTGGATGCCCTAGAGTTAGTCACAGATGGCTGTAGGGCCCCTGCTGTGCACACTAGGAACTGAGCACTCTTGTCTACAGAGCGACCCATCTATCTTTCTAGCACTCCTAATACCTGTTTCATGTTAGAAATGTTCTCCAGTCAGGGAGAACACTTTTCCTGGACGTTGTATCAAAGTCAAAACTAAAATTCCAAGCCAAAGGATAAAAAGGGAAAAACAAAACAAAACAAACAAACAAGCCAAAAAAAAAAAAAACCCCGAAACGCCACAAATTTCCTGGACCACCTGCTATGACTCAACGTGTTAGTTATCTGTTCCCCTCGGCCCCTGACCGTCCATTCGGGTGGAACTAAAGATGCCGCCACAATCACTGTCCAAGTCAAGTCTTGCCTCTGCCTCAGCACATAGGTATATCACACGTGTGTGCGTGCGTGCATAAAACGCACCCTGAGCCTCGGTGTATACACATCTGATCACGTTTCACGTTACATGAAACGACGTCGCTCACACAAATAAAATGAACTCTACACACATAACGTGTGCATGTGTGACACACAGTGGAAGGATGATCTGCCCCTGGAAGGGAAGGTCATTCTGTCTGGACAGCCGTAAAGAGAAGCCGCAGTGGCTCAGCTGCCCCGTGTCCTCCCTCGGGCGCCTGGGTTGAAGGCTTACTTGCCAGCTGGGTCACGAAGGCTGGAGATTCTTTGACAGTGGATTAATCCATTGATGAATTCATAGCTGAGGGCCCAGCAAGAGAAGATAGGTCACTGGAGCCACAATTGTCATATCTTGCCTTCATACTCTTCCCCTTCCTTCTCTTTCTCCTTTCCAGGAAGTGAGTAGCTCTGCACTTCCATTTTCTCACCACAGTGTTCTACTTGACTCTTCCCCAGCAGACCTCAGACAGGAGCCCTAAGACTGAGAGGCGAACCAATCCTACCTTGAATGGTTTCTCTCAAATCCTTTGTCCCAGGAACAGAGACAGGGTGAGTTGAGTCATGAAAAATGGCGTGGATAGCAAAATACGGGAGGAATGTTATCTTAGACAGAGAACAACATAAGCACAACTGTAATCCTAAGAATCAACATGATTGGAAAACACCAACATACAATTGCAAAGTGGAAACGGCAGTAGCTATTGTGAGCTCCTCGGGTGGGCGGGTGAGGTTGCATGGGTGAGGGTGGGGGTAGGGGTTGACATTGGAGGACTACTAGCTGCTCTTCTGGGGCTGGTGAGCTGGTGAGGCTTTCTAGTAGAAGATGGGCTCTAGAATCTTCATGTCTTCTATGCTGTCGACGTGCCCGTCTGCATTACAGTGGAACTGAACATAGTTGTAGCTCCTTTTCTCCATATATCTATTTTTGGAATTCTCCCACTGGCACGTGAGTACCTTAATGGGGATCTGAGCCCAAACGTATGAATTTTTGTAGCGGTCTTTCCAGTTGCTACTAATACATATATGCTCAACTTTGTACCATGACATATAAACAAATTCGTGCGAGACCTTCGGTTTCAGAGCTCTTTCAGTCATAAGGACCTCACATCTGTATGTACTGAATTCTTTGTTTGAACTTAGGTGATGGTGTTCCATGAAGTGCCGCCTGGACGCGCTTTGTGCAAATTGGACGCACTGCAGGAACAGCAGGGGCAGGAGCATGTCCCAGGCCTTTAGAGAGGACACCATAGCAGACACTGGGGCCACCTACACGGGCACAGGAAAAAGAGAAGGAAATATTTAGATACTGTCCTTCAAGCTGAGCTGTACTTTAAGTTTCCTGTGTAATTTTGTTTGTTTCCCAGAGAAGATAACCCCCATTAGATACTAAAGTTAATTGCATATAAAAACTATGTTGCAGCCTGAGTGAACTAAGAATAAAATTACAAAAAAGAAGATGGGATTTGTTTCGAAAACTCGAACTCCCTCCTATATTCCCTCTCTTCTACACAACCGAAAGAGCCTCTCTATTCTGTCTCACCAGCTCTAGCCAACTCCTTAACGCTCAGAAGATCGTGTGTCCCAAAGAGTTCTCTTCCAAGCTGAATGACTAATCACACTGAAGGGAATGGAGAGTAACTGCTGGGGAGATGCCGCCAAGAAGGAAGGCTGTGGGTCCCTGAAGTTTTAGCCCAGGCTGTGCTTCTCACTGTTTGCACCATGATGATTAGCCTCTCTTGACCCCTCCTAACGTTTCCCCCAAATCTAGAGGAAGTGCAACCCCATTTCCTCAGTCCTCACCTCTTTTCTCAGGAACCTCGTCCCTGTGTGCATTTGTCAGAGCTACTTGTTGAGAATGACTAGAGGAACTGAAGGTCTGAAATAGTGTTTCAATTAACCAAATACCACAAGTGTATAAACCAGCGTCCTAGGAGTCACTCTGGGTAGAAGACAGAGTCCGGTGTTTGGAAAGGCTTAGCCTGCCCTCGTTTACAAGAGCGTGCCTAGCCCTATCAAATCTTTCACCTCGTTCACAGCCCTGACCTCAGATGGGTCTGATAGACCTTGGAGAGCCAACAGGAATACTCCAGTAGACTGGAGTCTTCTGGATGAGGGTCAGGTAAGGTGGGAGCCTTATCTGTGGGGTTAACGCAGAGCTGAAATTGAGGTCTTGATTTCTATGATTTGGATCGATTTTCATCCTTAACTCTAAAATGTCAATCAAGGTCTTTCCAAAGACTCCTGGCCTTCCAATCGAGTTTCTTACATGCCAACCCTTCTGACTCACCTAATCAGAGCACACGTCCCAGGTCCTGGAGGGTTGTGGTGGGCACAGAGGTAGGGGGATCTGAAGAGCAGAGTCTCTGCTGCCGTTTCCGGAGTTCCCAAGAAGTCGACTGCAGTAGACAAAAGAATGACAGTAGGAAGTACAGCGGGTTAGGTATGAGGGGGTGGCGGGGTGGAGGACAGAGCTGGAACAGCGATATATGCGAACCTGTTCTGTATCTCCTCATGTGGAACACTTGGGTTCACCCTGAGAATAGCCTTAAGCAAAGTCTGCAAACATCAAAGGATGCGCAGGCACAGAAGAATTTCAAAGTGATGGAGAGCAGTGACCCCAGAGAGGGATTACTGGCAGCTTTCAAGAGACAACCAGAAATCTGGCCCTGAAACTTGTTTCTGGGGGGAAGTCCATGAATGGCTAGGATGTATTCTATGGGAAGTTTGACAAAGATGTGGACTATGGCAATGTCCCCAGTAAGTGAGAGCATGTGGTCAAAGGTGTGATTTGTAGATAAGTTGAGAAAATGGAGTGTGCTTTGTATCAACAGAGCAAAGGCCGCTAGTGGTTCATCTGTGCCAGTTTCTTTCCCATTTGCCTTAGCACAAGAACGTCTGCAGGTATCAGTTTAGATCCAGAACTTATTTTCAAAGCCAGGTAATCTTCTCAGGTAGGAAGCTGAAGAAGGAGGCTCAGCAGTTTCGGGTCAGTCTGGACAATATAAAGAGACCCTGTCACAAGAAAAAGAAGATTCACCAACTCCTATCTGCAGATGGCAGCTCTTACCAAGGATCCCTGGAATAATCAGGAATGCTGTGCTGATAGGCTGGGTGTTGTGCATCTTCCTGTTCTTAGCTGTCTGAGTGACAGGGAGAGTACACCCAGGGGGGAATTGTGAGCACCTGAATTTGGATAACTTAGAGATAAGTCTGAGGGGGGAAAAAACAGCACTCATCTGCACAGATGTCCAGGATATTTTCTGACAAGTTTGCACAAGCTGCTAAAAACTTAAATGCAAATCTAATGGATATAAAAAAGAGAAAAGGACCTGTGGAGAAAAAAAACTAGGAGAGGGAGCAATTTTTGCCAAGGCCTATCTGTTTCTTTTTCTCTCTGTTCTAGGCTCTTCCAGATGCCTCCGGCTGTCCTCTCTCTCATATTTGCAACAAAACTTTCTCCCCACTCAAAAGAAAGGGAGCAGCCATTTTTCTTTTGGGGTGGTGCTGGGAATTGCACCCCAGGGTCTTGTGAGTGTGCTGGGAGAATACTTTACCACACACCTACCTCTCCAGCCCAAGCCACAGTCTTTCAAAACATCTGTCTTATAGTATATGAGAGTACCAGCAAGCAGTTCTGAGAATTCTTTAAAAAAAAAAAAAAAGAAAGAAAGAAGAAAGCATAAAGAGTTTATTGGGGCTTGTCGTTTTGGAAGGTGAGTCCATGACTATCGTGGCAAGGAGTGGCCCTGGAGCAGTAGCTGAGAGCTCATTTCTGATACACAAGCAAGAGGCAAGAGGACGAGGCGGTTCTGAGAATTGTAAGAATGCGTGTGAGAGGACAGCACCGCACGGATGCCAGTCGTTGCTGTCAGGATCTCGCCCTAGTCACAGGCATCTCTGCGGTCAACGCGTCAGATGAGTGATGATCCACTTTAAATGTGGAAGAACATTTTCTACGCAGACACCCACAAACCCTACTATGATTTAAAGCTGAGATCCCAAAGCCCTCTTGCACATACAACCAAACTAAACTGGCCTGGTGAGCAGTGCCCCCGTAGAGATGGAGAAATGTGAAACTAATGAAGGAAGTTCCGGCAACCGCTGTCTCTGGGAACTTCTGGAAGGGTGCGCTTCCCATAGCTCTCTCTCTGCCAAAAGCTTCTCAGGTTCCAGCTAATTTGAGTGTGCCGCTTCTAATCTGAGTGACTGCTATTTTCATTTGAATGTAAGGTTTCAGTCATTTCCTAACCACATTCTCTTAAAATATTAACTCCATCTATGAATTCTTTAATATTTCCTTCGCCATTCAATTCTTATTTATTTATTTATTGGGCACTACTATGAGTCAGATAGTGACCTAGACTTCCCGCTACAGCTGATGAAAGGGTTCCCAGAAACTTCCACCTAGGATCCTAACCTGTGTTCCCAGGGTTTCCAAGGACTCCACAGACAAAACTCCTAGGGTCCGTGAACTGATGTGTTGGAATTGTTTTATTTTTATCTTTTAGATTTTCACTAAGCCACGGCTAAAATGTAATAATTCCTTCAGTTACTAATGGGGGGAAGTGCTGGGTAGAGAGGAAATCCGTCGATGCAAGCCTGGGAGAGGTTGAAACCAGCTTTCCAGGTGACCCTTTCACCAGTCCCAACACAGAAGGAGGTGTTTGCTCCTTTGTGAAGACAACTGCTGCCAGGTAGCCCTCTGCCTGCTCAGCAATGCTCCGTCTGGGAGAACCTGAGAGGGGTTTGTCACAGAGAGCAAACAGGACATACAGGCTGTTCAGGAGAGCACGCATGAGCTCTTCTTTATGGCCTTCCCAGACTCCATTCTGCTTGAGGCTTTGACATGTAGTTCCATTTAGTTTGCCCAAACTTGCACCTTTCCCCACTTTGCTAAAGCCCCTTCTTTGAAGTGCCCCGTCACCCTGTCACATTACTTGTCTCTCTTGGGCATAGTCTATAAGACCTAGTTCCCTATTTGAGGGAAAAAATCTTGAATAACTATGATTCTACTTCAAAAACAAAAAGAGAGGAAAAAAAAAAAACAGAAACCAACAAAAATAGCTTTCAGCTACCCTGAGCAGTAAGGGGGCTAGGCCTGGACACTATTTAGGCTAAGACAGAGTGGAGTTTACTATTAAATTCAACTCTATTTCCGCTCTCTGAACACTGGCTATCGTTTCAATGCACTTGACTGCACCAGTGTTACTGAGATCAGAATTTGGCTCATGATGCCTGTCAGAATAAACATGGGTTTTTAATCTTTAAACTCCATGGCTTTCTGAGCAGTCAAGAGGGAAAAATCAGTCTTGCTCACAAGTGTATTTTCTAGCAAACCAGAACAAACCCGTTCCAAAGCCTAGTGTTGTCCTGTCCAGGTGATCAGCCTTATCTCTCAGACTCGCCTTTTACTCCATTATCATCTCTTGGTGTGTATCGGAGGTAAGTTCACGTCTACCAAGGCCACCGAGTTTTGCATTCCTCCTGAACATTTGGATAACATCTAGAGAGAAAGGCTGAGAACAGGCTGCACTATGGTTTGTGGGCTGTTTCCTTTCTACAGAATGAAGAACAAAGGAGCTCTTTGTATCAAACGTCCCATCTGTCATTACCTATTGACCTGGCTTTGGGATTGACATGACCGCAGTAATGGGGTCGTTCCCCATTGAAATGACAGAAGTGTACACAGAAAAGCTGGGATCGGATGGGCTGTGTGCCCTGAAAGAAATACATTGGCGGCAGCGGGAAACGCATCATGTTACTATGCAGAGAATGAATGAGAAAAAATAGCTAATCTTGGGAGTGGGTCTCGGAAGGGGAGTGGTCTTAGGCTGCAGAAGGACACAGCTGTGGGTTGGCACTTCCTGCTAGTCTGTTAACATCCGAGCTAGGGTCAGGAGAAACCCTTGCCATTGCTCTGAGCCTGAGCCAGGAAAGGCCTTGCCACTCTGAGAAGCACGGTCGTATAGGAATGGGATTCAATTCCCAGCACCCACACGTGGCTCTCGATCTTCTGTAATGCTAAGTTCCAAGGAAACTGATGGCCCCTTCTGACCTCCGTGGGCACCAAGTACACACATGCCGCAGGTACATATACCTGCAGGCGAAACACTCACGAACACAGAATAATAAGATATTTTTAAAAACTAAAATAAGTACAAGACAACAAAACTTACAATATTTTATATCTTTTTTTTTTTTTTTTAAATAGTGTCTCATGCTGTAGCAGGCTATCCTGGAATTTACTTATGTAGCCCATGCTGGCCTTCCATCAGTCTTTCTGTCTCTACCTCCTGAGTGTTGAGATTATATGTAGGAGCTACCATGCCCATAGGTAGAAGTTTTACAATCCCAATTTTGAAAATGGTTTTGGAACAGGCACTTGGAAGCTGTTGAGGGAGTGGGTGTAGCAACAGGATAAAATCTGGGCGTCTGTGCCTTCATCTTCTGTCTATCTCTTTTACTTTTGGTCAATGCTTTACCGCTATACATAGCACATGAATCACACAAAGACTATCTAGCCAGTCTCATCCACTTCAAGGTTATAGGCACAGGGTAAGTTATGATCATAAACCTGGAGTTACTTGGGATTCCAGGACCATCAGGACCTCACCCAACAGACCTCAATCACATCCCCCTGACCCCAATATGTGGACAACCGTCCACAGTGGCAGGGCTCCACCCTATGAATAAAATATTTCTTAAGAACTAGGTTGATCTCTTCAGACGATGATGATCTCATTAAAGGCTTCTTCGCTGGAGCAGAACTGAGACAAGGATCAGCCAGAACGCACCATAGCCAGGACTGCCTACATTTGCACACCTTTTGCCCTTGTGCCCAATTCTATATTTATCAAAACCTAGGTGTCATGGCAGTACCCCAAAGATAGACTTATGTCCACCAGGTTCCATCATCTGTTCATTTTTCCAGCGAGTGTAGTCATACTGAATAAATCTCACTCCTCTTTTATGGTTCCATGTCTATTTTTCACTTTAGTTATGTCTTTTTTTTTTTTTTTCTTTTTGAGACAAGGTTGCATGTAGACCATGTTAGTCTTAACATGGAATTCAGGATGACCCTGAACTCCTTGATCCTCAACTTCTCAAGTGTGCTAATTAGAGGCTATGATGCCCAGCTTCACTGGGCTCTTCAGTCAGTGTGTTAGGGGGAGGTGGCCAAGTCTAGCTGGGGGAGGGGCCCTGGATTCCTGTGTGATAAGGGGAAGGGGCAGGGGTGCTGCCAGAGCCTAGGTGGTTAGTCTAAAATCCCCTGAAGGGTTTTGAACAAGAAGCTTAGGCTTTTGAAGATAACCAAACAAATAATACATGGGATTTGGCAAGACCGTCTGTAGCCATGTGGCCTATTTGCTTCCTTTGTTTATAGGTCTTAAATTCTCCTGAGAAATAGTAGCATGTAGAAACACACACACACACACACAAAACCTTTTTTTAAAAAACTTCATGTGTATTAATGTTTGGCTTGCATGTATGTCTGTGTTCCTCTCGTGTGCCTGGTGCCTGAGGAGTCTAGAAGAGGGTGCCCGATCCCCTGGAACTGGTGTTAGAAACTGGTGTGAGCTGCTGTGAGGGTGATGGGAATCAAACTTGGGTCCTCTGGATGAGCAGCAGTGCTTTCTCCCCCTCCCCCCAAGACAGGGTTTCTCTCTGTGTTTAGCCCTGGCTGTCCTAGACTCACTCTGTAGACCAGGCTGGCCTGAAACTCAGAGATCCACCTGCCTCTGCCTCCTGAGTGCTGGGAGTAAAGGCGTGAGCCAACACTGCCAGGCTGGCCAGTGCTTTTAACTGGTGAGCATCTCTCCAGCCTCATGCAGTACTCTTAACTAATGAATGGCGTGTATGTGTGTGTGTATGTGCGTGCGTGTGTGTGTGTGTGTGTGTGTGTGTGTGTGTATTCATTCTATCAGTTCTGTTCCTCTAGAGAACCCTGACTAAGACAAACACAGTAGAGGAAGTTAGGGTAAATGGAAATTTTTAAACAAAAGAAATATGGACAAACAGTTTCAGAGAAGCTCTTAACCTGATGTGGTGGCCAACACCTTTAATCCACAGCACTAGGAGGCAGAGTCAGGTGGATCTCTTAAGAATTTCAGGGTAGCCTGGTCTACATCATGAGACCCTACCTCAAAAAACAGAAAACCATAACAAGCAAAGCTCATTATCTTCAGGAGCATGTGGGGAAAGTTGGCATCAGTTCACTGCTGGAGACAGCTGTTGCCAGGCTGCTGTCCCTGGTTATCTGGAAGACTGCAGAGGTTCTGGGGTTAGGCCTGTCACAAGATGACAAGCAGGATTTGAGGCTGCCTGGGAAACACACGGTGAAGCTGGGCCTGGTGGCACGGGTCTGTAATTATAGCTTTGTGGGAGGCTGGTGCAGAGCCTGCCTGGACTACAGATAGAGGAATGCACACATGAGCTTTTTTATAGACACCTTGACATAATGAGCCCATTTTCTACTTTCACTGGCAGAAACAATGCATAGGAGAAAGTGCAGGGCATGCAAAGCAGTGTCCAGGCTCCTTTTTTAATTATAAAAAAAAGGGAGGAATGTTAGGATTTGGGAACAAAACCTGCTTCTGGGTTAGCTAGCAACTTATGATGTCATCATGTGTCACCAGCCAAGTGGCCACACCTGGAAGGCGTGATTACCTTGCCCCTTAAAGGGACAACCCGACACATGGTCGCTCTCTTGCTCTCTCTCTCTCTTGGTCCTCTCTTCTCTTGTTCTCTTGCGGCGCCCCCTCCCCCCTCTCTCCCCATCATGTCCTCTCTTCATATCCACCTAATAAACCTCTTTCATAGAAAATCTGTTGTCAACCTCATATTTTAATAGATCTAACATTTATAGAGTTGAATCTTCAGATGCTCTACTCTAACTCTCTTAAACACTTGGTGTTTTTAGTGGCTTATTTATCTTGAGACTATTAAGAATCTTACCCCAAGTAACTTCATTAGTGTAAACTCAGGTGGGAGTGAAGGTGCTATGAGCAACAAAAGTCAGTCAGGAAATGCCATGCATGAGCTGTGCATCAGAACCAAGGCAAATACAGTGACCAACTCTCATGGCTGCCTGAAGGGTATGTTTTCTCTTGGACCAAATGACATTCCATGCTTCAAGTACAGTTGCTTTGTTTACATAATTGTCTTGGAGAACTTCCTGGCTGCACTTGTTGGGATTCTTGACTCAAGTGATGTAAGGGAAATTCGGATTAAGTCTCCTTTCTATTGTTTAAATGTCTATTATTTAAATGTCAGTTTAGTCTCCTATACATATATTTCCCTTGGCAGTCAGCATATTTATAGAAATATTTTATTAAATGTCCAAAGTGGGAAGGAATGGGTGTTATCAAAGTCCTAGGCACAAAGCTTTACTTTTGTGGTCCCAATAAGTGAGGTCTGGCCACTGAAACACCAAACCAAACAGAATAGGTAATGGTAGAAAGAAAACAAGAGCTTTCATAAGTGTAAGTGTGCTGGTAAAGCAAGGAGCCTGGCATCTTTAACCTGCCTCCAAGGTGCTAGCAAAAGTGCTATGATTATACAGGAGATATAGGAGCAAGATATATATGGGGGCAAGAAGAATTAAGCAATTTCTGGCCAACTGTGGTTTGGCCAACTGTCTTAGTTTGGGTTTTGTTGCTGTGAAGAGACACCATGACCAAGGCAACTCTTAAAAAGGCAAACATTTAATTGGCACTGGCTTGCAGTGTCAGAGGTTTAGTCCATTATACTCATAGCAGGAAGCATGGAAGCATGCAAGCAGACATGGTTCTGGAGGAGCTGAGAGTTCTACATCTTCATCTGGGCAGCCAGGAGGGGACTGTCTTCTGCAGGCAGCCAGAGGGGGGCTCTGATTCCACCCTGGGTGGGATAGCAAACCTCAAAGCCCACCTACACAGTGATGCACTTCCTCCAACAAGGCCACACCTACTCCAACAAGGCCACACCTTTGAATAGTGCCACTCCCTGTGGGCCAAGCATTCAAACACATGAGTGTATAGGGGCCAAACCTATTCCAAACACCGTAACAACCATTATTTCACGTTGGCCAAAGTCATTGTCTGGGCCAGTGAGATGGCTCAGTGGGTAATGACGCTTGCTCTACAAAACTGACAGCTTGAGTTCAATCCCTGGAATACATGGTGGAAAGAGATAACTAGCTTCCAAAGGTTGTCCTCTGACTTCTTCCTGAGCACCTGTACACACACACACACACACACACACACACACACACACACACACACAAACAGGTAAAATCCTAAAGAGGAAAAACCATTATTCTCCATTTATCCATCAGCCCTATCGATCTTGCACTCCCCGTGACCACAGACAACTCAGAACAAATCACACACAGCCAGAAAAGTCAACCTTGTTAGTGCACTCTCAGTCACCCATTGGCCATATGCAGTCACGAACATCGATAATGCCAGATCACCTGGCATTTGCCACGTGAAGAGTTGGTGGCTTTTAGTAAAGGTCATCTCTGAGTTCTTGTTTCAGGTCTTGTGTGTGAGAGGGGTCTCTTTCTTTGGAGTAAAGGAGACAAAGCTTCTGTGCTGTGATGGGCCTGATGGGCATTTGTGTTTGACCAGGACATATAGGGATACTAAGGGGCATGCGTGTTCACACGCTGGAGATGAACACAAACCCACAATATGGTAGGTTCAACAGACAGCTCTTTATCACAGTGAAAATGTGGAAAATCTTTCAGACAAGAACAGTGACTGAATCTTGGCGGTCTACTACATTCTTGATATAGCTTTTTTATTTAATCTTACTAGCCACAGACCATAATAACACCAAGTACCTCAGAGTTCTCATTTTGTGATTTCCAGACTCTAAATGGTCCCCCTAGAGATGAAATCCAGAAATAACAGAAAGCATCCACAATAAAGCAGGTAAAGCCCTGTGTGGGAACCCTGGTCAGCTGGATCTTTGTCTGAGATCCGCCACTGCTTTCACGGTCTTCAAATCCTGTTCTAACTCTCAGCTTCTGAATAAAGTAGCAGAATTGGCATCTCGAGTGGGTGTTAGGGCATTGGAATGAGACAGCTTGGGCAGCCAAAGACTCTTTGTAATAGTCGAAATGCTAACTAAGCACATGCAATGCGTAAGTTCCAGCAGATAGAATCTGGGAGAACCAAGCCATCAGTATGATGAGAACCTTCCTTCTTCTCTTGCATGTGATGAGCTTAATACAATGGGTTATACTGAGCGTGTATGGGTATAAGACCCGAGCAAAGAAGACAAAGCCTGGGTGGCATCTATCTGTCAAAGTGCACTGGGACCTCGGGGTTACCCTCACAGGCGATGACAACTCGCCTCGTGCTGGCGCTCGCCCTGTATCTACAGTTGGGGGGCCTGGAGCTCCCTGTCTCTCTGCAGTCTGTGACCCTCAGTACACCCTCATGACAGTTCATCTTGCCGTTCTTGCACTGGATACTGGCGGTGCTGCAGATGCCACGGATGCTCCCGATGTCTTCATGGATGAAGGTGTTGAAGCGTTTGCACTGGTAAGAAGTCATCTTCCGTCTCTGCATCATCAAGTTACAGTAGCTGTTATCGCCACCGGTCACCTGAGGGTCCACGTGCTGCCGAAGGAACCTCTGGTACATCCGATCCTGGCCGTAGGAGGGCTGCACAAGCCCTAAACCAAGCAGGGTCAGCACCAGGAGCAGAAACAAGCACGGGGTCCTCTGCAGAGCCATCGCTGCCTAGACAGTGCCTGAGGAGAGAGCAAGAACGGGAGACAAGATGGTGAGGACCGGGCCCTGGATAGGTGCAGAGAATGGCGAGGTAAAATCTGCTAAGAATCCTCTCTTTCATCTCCCCCCCCCCACTTATGATCTCTCCCTTCTTCCTGCTGCCCTCTTCCCCACCCTTTTCTCTGAAAGCAACTAGTATGCCAACATAGCTTTCCTGAAGGCAAAGGCTCTTCTCTGTGCTAAATGGCAGCTGGTGTAGCCATCAGAGCAAGTTAGAGCATGCATGACCGGGTGGTTAGTTGCCCAGGCCTGTGTAACCAGAGTATAAAACAAGGAAAGGTAAATCTACGTAAACCTGGAGTTTGGGTTTTGTAAGAGAATTAGCTATGATCTTTAGGGAGTGTTTGGTGTTCTGGAAATTGCAATTCCCAAAAGTAAAGATAAGCTGGGGTCAAAACAAATTTATGTATTGATTTGAACGCCCTGTGTCCAGGAAACAGGGGAAATAGAGTAGAACAAACTTCAGTCTAGCCTTTCCTCTCCTGTGACTATTCTGCTAGTGTGGTAAACCATGTCTTTGGGGAAAACCCTTAAAAAAAATCTTCTCTTAAAAACAAACACCCCGCCTTCGCCCAAAGCTCAAAAATTATTTGGAGGAAGAAGGTGGAAAGATTGTAAAGCAAGGAATGAAATGAAAACAGTGAAACTTTTGAATGAAACAGGGCACTTTCACATATGAATCCACAGCTGTTGAGACAGCATGCACAAGACCTATGCAAATTCAAGCCAAACAAAATCCCAGCCTGGATTGGGGGTGGGGGTGGAGTGGGCACAAGGATCTATTGGCAAGTCATAGAGGCTTGGAGAAAAAGAGCCAGTTTTCTTTAAGGGTGTGAGACTATTGGTAGGCTGACACGCTCCAGAGGCTAGCCTCACAGCCAAGAGTGTTTGGGCAGAGCAAACCGGACACAATGGGTTTAAAAGCTGAAAAAGGCAGCTGTGAAGTTAGGTGGGTAGGATGGTGGGGCTAGATCTGAGAAGAGCTGGGAGAGGAGGGGGACTATGATCAAAACACATTGTATGAAATTCTCAAATAATGAATAAAAATGTTATACAATGAACAAAGTAGGATAATGACCCATGCAGGAATGGCTCGGGGAATGACTCGCAGATGCTGCCATCTGGTGGTCAGTCCTCAGATTTGACTTGCAGGTCGATTGACAAGAGCAAATAAACATCATCGCTGACGCAAGAGAAGTGGACACCCCAAAGTAACTGGGCAGTCTTTTCAGAGTCAAGCCGGCCTGTCGAGGCAGCTACAGCCAAAGAGCTGTCTCCTTCTGAGATGGTTTGACGCGTACAGATACCGCTGTGCTCCTCTTCAAATATGCGGGTCCGTGACGGCAGACCCCACGCGCGGCTTACTTAACTCTACCTCAAGTCCATGCTTTGGTAAGGAATAGGCACGCAAGTGTTACTCGTTGACACTCCCCCCGCATTCACAGCCGTGGCTTTGCACGTCAAGCTCCGTGCCCTACTTCTGTGCCTACAGCGATAGATTTGAGAGAGAGAGAGAGAGAGAGAGAGAGAGAGAGAGAGAGAGAGATAGTAGTAGCAGCCTTGGCGGCCTTGCAGTGCTTGCCTAGCATGTATGAAGCCATGGGTTCGCTCCCCAGAATCACACGCCATCAGGCATGGTGGTACACACCTGTAATCCCAACACTTAGGAGGTAGAGGGAGGAACCTCATCTTAACCAGGACCCCACCCCAGCAAGCCCCGCGCGCGTGCGCAAAGCCCTCCCTCTGTACCACGGGTTCTCGATAAGAACTTCTTTTGGCACCGTAATTCCATTCCCCTGTATTAGCTGCTATAGTCCAGACTTCCAAAGTTCCTCAAAGGCCCGTGTGTTGAAGGCCTGCTCCCAGGGTGGTGCTGTTGGACGTTAGGTCACTGAGGGGATGCCCTTGAAGGGTCCTTAAAATGGTCTCAGCGTCTCCCTTCTTCCTTTGTTTCCCGGTACCATGAGGCGAGCAGCTGCTCCGCCACGCTCTCCCACTGTCATTCAGAGCCTCCCCACAGGTACCAAAGTAACGGGTCAAAATAAATCTTTCCACGTTTCAAGTTGATTAGTTGAAATATTTTGTCATAGCACTGGAAAGAAGGCTAACACGGTGTGCGGTTTGGGGGGGCTCCAAAGCCTCTCTTAGGGTGTCGCCAGATAAGCCGCACAACTGTAAGAGCACCCGCTTGTCCGAATATTGTGAGAAACAACTTCTGAAAACTTATTTTCCCTTTGCCCGCTTTTGTCCCTGTGAGGAAGAGTTGAAAGCGGGGTCACCTTGAGGGGAAGGGAGGGAGATCTGCGCCCCCCAGAAGGCAGGTTAGGAGGCAGTGCATAGGAGAACCGGGAAGGAGCATGCTGTGCATGAAGTGGACAGGGATGACTCTCTCAGAGCAGAGGAAAGAATGCAGGGTTGGTCTTCAGAGCGTCCTGCCTTGGAGCTGTTGACCGCTTTCATTTTTTCTGGTGTTCCTCTTGTTAGTATTTTGGAACAAAACCTGCTTCTGGGTTACCTAGCAACTTATGATGTCATCACGCCCCCCCCCCCCCCCCCGTGGCCACACCTGGAAGGCTGGTTACCCCTTAAAGGGACAACCCGACAGTGGTCTCTCTCTTGCTCTTCGCTCTTGCTCTTCGCTCTTGCTCTATGGGGGCGCCCCCTCTCTCTCCCCCTCCTCTCTCTTTTCCCCCTTTCTCCCTCATTTTCTCCCCATCATGTCCCGCTCTCCCTTTCCCCTTCCCTCTCCATATCCACCTAATAAGCCTCTTGCCTAGATCGGTTGCCAGCCTCATCTTTTATTAATAGATCTAACACCTCTACTTTCTCCAACCAGGAGAAAATAACGAATGGCTGCAGCGTGCTGCCTTTCACATCGTCGAGTCCCTTTATTTTAAAGGGTTAATTACACTCTCAAAACATTGGAGGTCTGTGTCTCAGGGGAGAGTTTCCTCTCCAATGGCACGGAATGTTCTTGATCACAAGTCACCATTCTGTGTTATTTGGAAGCTTTTCTTATCTCTTCCTTGCACAGCCAGCAATCACTCATGACCTTGCCTTCAGTTTCTCAAATAGCTTATTATTGAGACACAATGCCTTATCTGTAATTTGATGTTTCCATCTGAACGCCTTTGCATTATGATAGAGCAAGAGACCCCATACAAAAATACTAGGACCGAGAGAGAACCCATCCAGATGTGACTTTTTTTTTCTTTTTTTTTTTTTTTGAATTGGTTGTCTCTTTCTACCGTGTGAGCCCCCAGATCAATCTTGGGTCATGGGACTTGGTGGCAAGCATCTTTACTCACCGAATGATCTCACTGGTCTTTTTTTTTTTTTTTTTTTTTTTTTTTTTTTATGGCAACTTTGCTAAGGAGAGACATTTGAAAAATTCTTCCTGTTTCCTGAAGTGATGGCTGCTGTTCCTGCGCTGAGCATGTACCTGCAGCCCAGTTCTCTGGCCCGTCCCAATTCAAATACTGGCAGGAAGGCTGGCTCATTCAGGTACTAGCCCATAGTAGGGCTTTGGTCCCAATTTAGGTCAATAATAGCAACAAAAGATGACAGCTCAGAGGAATCTGCAGCCCTGATATTCATCTATTCATAAGGCAGCTCAGCTGCTCATTTTGCATTTGTTAGCAACTGTTTTCTAACTAAAACATCTAGGAGTGTGTGCATAAACCTTGGCTGACAGGACATTACCTACTCAGCCTGTGTGGCTGCCAGCATCCAGCAAGCTCCGTTTCTATATAGTTTACACCTGAAAACAAATCTAGCAGAAGCACGTGAAGACAATAGATGTGGAATCTTTCCACAACTTCCTTAAGACCTCACAGCTGTCAAATATTTGACACTCAATAAAGTAAAAGGTTAATGAGAAAATAATGTGAAACAGGCAGCTTTTTAAATAAAATAGCTGCAACAAATGAATGTCTTGCGGGTGTTCCATTAGAATTAACAATAAAAATTCTCCCTCGCCTAAGTCAAGCAAGAAGTGCTCGGCGGACAGAAAGGGAAACTTGAGAGGCTATGAGAAGGAAAAGAGGCCCCTCACTTGGCAGTCTGGGAAGCAAGTATTTCATTATAATTAAAACTGCTTAAGGCCTTCCTCCTTGCCAGCCATAAACCTGCATTTTCCAGAAATCCAGGAAGAAACCTTCTTTTCAAGGAGAGGATATGTACTGAACCCCTTGTGCAAACCTGGTGGTCTCTGAATTCTACCTTTGCAGGTTATAATTCCTAAGACATCCCCTGAGATACCCTGTGATCACACCTATCCAAAGACAGAAAAAAGGGGCCCTGGGGTGGCTCAGTAGTTAAGAACACTTGCTGTTTTTGCAGAGGACCTGGGTTTGAATCTCAACACTCAACACAACCATCTGCAACTCCGGTTCCAGGGGATTCCACATCTCTTCTGACCTCCCCGGGGAACAGGCACACAGGTGGCGCACATACGCACAGGCGAGCAAAACACGAATTATAAAACGAGGTGCACGTAACATAACATATTTTAAAGAGAGAGAAAGAGAAAAGGAGGGCTGTCCTAGCAACCTTTAAGGGACCCAAATTGTACATATAGTTGTACTGAGGCTCTCTGTGCCTGGCTCTCTGTTGGGGAGCCCATACCCACATCTGGGTATGCCCCACTTTCTAAGTGCCTATGCTAACAGTCTGTGCTACAATTGTCATTGATAAGAACTCCAACAATGCTTCATGCAGGCTAGTCTTGAAATGTTTTTCTGTGGGAGACTATGAATCTGGTTTGGCCAGCGTTGAGGTCCCTAAAAAAATTAAAGGGGACTCAACAGGTTGCAGAGGATGACAGCACGGAGCTGTGTCGGTCCCCTCAGTGCTGACAGTCTTGTGTTGTGTTGTTTGTTGTAGAGAGGGGAGGTGGGGGCGGGAGGCACCTTTGCTGTATTGGCTCTTGATCTTAAACTGCTTCCCCTAAGGGTTCCCTTTAGTGACCTTGCTTAATAGACAACTCGCCTCTCTTGAAAATTTCCTGTCCTGTCTGTGGCTCAACTTATCATCCTCAGCACCCACCACAGAAAGATTGAGTCTGCCTTCAGTAGTCTACTAACAAATAAGAAAGACTCTGTTCCAGCCCCTTCCCTCCCAGGGAGCAGAGGAAACAGGACAAGCTGAATGTACTGATTCTGAATGCTTTAGAGACAACTTTATTATGGGCATTGTAAATCAGGAGACATAAGTTTCAGATAGTCCATCTCCTGGCCCCTGACAGTGAATGTTGCCACCAGGGTCCTGGGCTGTGAGGGGAAATAAAAAGAGATCCCAGCCAGGTCTGTGCTGGGGGTCTGCTGACTACAGGCTGAAGAAGGACTCATCCAAGTGGACGGGCAAGCCATTTTCACAGGCGACAACAACGTGTCTGAACCCCGCGGAAGCCCGGTACCGGCACGGGGGCCGGGAAGACCCTCCAGTGTGCTTGCAAATGGTGACCTGGAAGGGAGATTTGCTTATTCTTAAGTTTTCTTTGTAAGGGTTTCCATTCGTCCCACAGATGTCCTTGATACTGCCCTTGTTGCCATGAATAAAGGTGTTGACATCTTTGCAGGGTGAGGTCAGGCCTCGCCTCTTCATCATACTTTCACAGTATCTGCTGTCCCGGCCCTTTGGCTTGCTATCGTAGTGCTGAGCCAGGAATTTTGTGTACCTGGCATCATTCTGAGCCAGCGTTGGTGGGGTCGAAACCAGACTCAGCATGAAGACCAACAACAAAGGGCCCAGACTCATCATCATCATCGCTTCCAACAGAGAGTCCTGCCAAGGGCAAAAGAACAGGAGTGGTAGGACCATGGAACCACATTTTAACTTACACTGAAAGGGTGGGGACTTTTCTCTCTGATAGACCATTATAAATCAGTTGTCCTCAGTCATCTAAATCCATCTTCGCTTTGGCTTTCCTAATTGACTCCATGCCCAAACCATCTTTCTTTTATTCTGTAGGTTCACCATCAGCCATAGCATAAGAAAATCTATTTACATTCTTAATTCACTTATTTCTTGACTTCATAACAAACATTACTCAAGTCCCTGTTGGGCCAAGGAACTGTGCTAGATCCTAGGACATAAAGACTTTTTAAGATATGCCGAGGGCAGGTACAGTGGTGTGTGTCTCTAAGTCCCAGCTACTTAGGTAAGGGAGACAGGAGGATTGCTTGAGCCCTGGAACTCCACACTAGGTTGAGTAATGAAGACTTGGTTTGGGGTTGGGGAGAGAAAAGCACAGAACAGAAATGTGGCAACATGGGGAAGGGATAGGGCTCCTGGGGTGAAGTGGATGGTACCGCAGGAGCTGAGAGCCAGGGGGAATGGCTTCTGAGGCCATGAGCACAGAGACAGCCAGTCCCTCAAGGCTATTGAGATGGGATTCCAGGCACTCAGGTCCACACCAATGAGGAAAGCTGTTCAGAGCAGATGACCTTGTGATGAAGGGGCAGGTCTATGTCTCACAGAGAGCAGGATTCCTAAGCAGAACAAGTACGCAGTCCTTGAAGTGGGCCTGGGGGCAACCCGTACAGGGCATAAAGGGGAATGCAAGCTTGTCTTTCAGAGTGCCTCACTTCAGAGGGTGACCTGAAAGAATATTTTCTAGTCTGTCCTGCATTTGTAATACTGTTCGCATGGGCGAATGATCTTCCAGTGTGGAAGAACAAAATCCTGACATCTCTTCATGAAGCCAAAGGACTTATAATTCGGTGTGAGATCTCTCTGAAAAGGAGGAGAGAGAGAAGGCTCCTGCAGTCATCGACCCAGAACTCTCAGCTACCCTGTGCCACACAAACCCACCACAAACCGCACACAACAGAGCCAAGGGTGCCTCCTGCTGGAGCCTGACCTCCTGAAGGACTCTTAAAACATGTTATTTCTTATGAAATTTAAAATTTTGAGAACTGGGAGATACTAGGTGTTTGCAGCCATCAGTTTCTGATAATATCCTTAGTTATCTGAAGAAAAATAAATAAATAAATAAAAAAGATTATCCTGAGACTTAAAGACTCTCCTCACAGCGGGGCTGCGGAGACGGTGGCCCAAGTTCAGGTCCCGGCACCCACACTAAGCAGCTCACATCAGCCTAGGACTCCATCTCCAGGGGATCCAACGCCTCTGGCCTCTGTGGGCAGCTGCACTGTCTTACACACGCCCGCCCACAGACACACATGCATACACGTGTCCTAAAATAATAAAAATAAATCTCAAAACAAAAAAACTCTAGGGAGGAATTAGCTGTGTAAAGAAAAAGCCAGACTTGATGACGAGCCCTTTTAATCCTCATGCTGTGAAGGTGAGAACACAAAGATCCTGGCCAGCCTTGTTAATTGGTGAGTTTCAGGTCCCAGAACACGTGGTTGTTGGCTTCTGGGGAACATATGCACAAACCTGCACCTCCCACAAAACCCACAATAGGTCTGTACCCCATTATATCAGATAACTACAAATGCCCCCACATTTAACAAGAAAAATCAGCTCTTTTCTTTTTTAAAAAAAAAAAAAATCTTTTTTTGAAACACGGTCTTGCTATGTAGCTCAGGCTGGCCCAGACTCTTGATCCTCCTTAGGAACAACCTCACCCAGTTTAAGTAGTTCTGGGGAGACGGAGGCAGGAGAATTGGAAGTTTCAAGTCATCTTCGGCTCCATAACCAATTCAAGGACAGCCTGGGATACACAAGACCTTGTCTGTAAATAAATAAATACAAAGAATGTTTCATCCCCCAGCCTAAAGAGATGTGTTACTGAAAGAGGAGATCAGCTCCAAGTAACTGCCCCCACAACTGTGGCCTATTTTCAGCTGCATTAAGTTAGTCATTAATTTTATTTTGTGTTTCTCTCGCTTATAAGTCTGAACACTTTTATTTTTACCGTGTGTGTGTGTGTGTGTGTGTGTGTGTGTGTGTGTGTGTTCCTGGCACTCAGCCTCTAATTTTCTCACCAGGGCAGGGTCAGAAGTAGAGCTTGGAATCTGGGAGGTCGGGGGTCTAAGGCTCTGCTGAGCATGTGGGAGACAGGCGACGGAGTGGGAAATCACCAGTCTTTGTAATTAGCCTCGGACAGCAACCAACTGCGTCATGATTACCACAGGCCAACTCTGTTCAGGGCTAAAGAACGCCAGGGTCTCGGTCATTTCACAATACTGAAATAACAAACTTCCATTTAGCAGGCAGACTGTGACCTGCGACAGGATCAATCGCGAGTGTGGTTGTTGCTGTTGATCGATAAAGATGGCCACGAATGCAGAGGGGACCACCACGTGTAGTGGCTTCGCCAGCAGAGCTGCCAGGCTGCGAGGCGTCCACTTGCTGAGGTCTTTACGCTTGTGTGTGTGTGGGGGGAGGGGGGGGGAGTGTGTCTCTTTTCTGTGTGTGGTTTCTCCTCAGAATTTAGGAAGAGCTGTGTGTGATGCTGCAGGCACACCTGCGACCACAGAACAGGCAAGGAGGACCGTTGTAGTTTGGGGCTAGTCTGGCTACACCCAACCTAAACGAGCAAAACGACGAGAGCTGGCGATACTCAAAAGAGTCAGCAGGTGGCAGCAGTGGATAGGGATGTTGCCATTCGGTAAGGCCGTCGCAGGGTGCCAACCGTATTTAAAACCTTGTAGGAGTACAGGTTGTGGGGAATGGGAACTGGTGGGTTCACTTAGAGGGCCTAAACTTGCCAGGCTTTGGGTATTTAGGACACCAAAGCGAAAGTCACAAAGTGGAGGCTCCAGCCATCGGACCATTGCTAATGTGATCTTGGGCAAACAACCATTCACCCGTCTGTATTTCCTGCTGCTGTATAATGTACAACCGGGAGGGGCCTGCATTCTTTACCTTGAAGCATAGTGCTTGCTTCACAGCAGACTCCTAGTATCACTCTGGAGGTTAACTTCCTTCTTCTCTCTAGGCCTATGCTTTACATCTGTCAACGAACGAGAGGGGTTCTAGCTTTGAAAGTCTATGATTCTTCACTAAACTAATAGATTCCCTACTGGTGTCAGCAGCCAAATCCAGCGACCCTGGAATTGCAGGGACAGAGTTATATAAAGTCAGTTGATGGTGTAAGGTACCAACTGGAAGAAAGCAGTGATATGGCAAACTGGGTCCAATCTCACTGAAACACATCATCTCTAAAGGCTCTCTGTGTAAGACAAAGCCCTACACCACCAACAGACTAACATTACACGTGGGGGGGAGCTTGCTTCCTAAAGAGACACTTGCTGTTTAGACTCTGAAGGCTCTCGGGTCCTTGTGGCCAGGGGAAGAAAGGGGTTGCTCGTTTCCAATTTGCAGAAATTGCACATTCTTCCTTACCAACCCATCCAACACAGTTCTCGGGCTTACTGTGATGTCACGTCTCTAAGACAAATTCCGGTCTACACCACGACCGCCCATGTCTGCCGTCCATTCCCTTGCAACTGTCTCGCTCGCATAGTTAACTCTAGATTCCCCTCAAAGCCAGGCGAAGCATAATGTCGGGGAAATAAGTGAGAGCTGGATTGTTCGGGGTGCAGATGTAAGTCTGCCAAGGCCAAAGGTGCTGAGCCTTCGTTACATACACAAGACGAGACTGCCATTCGGATTTCTGTCCGTGGACTATATCCCGACTCTTCTGCAGGTTCGTTTTATCCATTCTTAAATCAGTCCCACGGTCCTTGCAGGAACCAATGTTCTCCGTTTCTCCCCGTCGGCCATGCTTCGCACCCAAGAGATGTACAAAACTTCCCACATCAGAGTGGACGACATGAAGACAACCCTTTTCATGGGTATTGTTGTGCCCATCTCTCAATACCCCAAAGACCACCAGGGAGCCAATTCCGATGCAAACACACAAGGGTCTTTATTACAAGCTCGAGCTCAGGGGGGCCCCCACCATAACCGACGCAGCAGATCTGGAGTGAGAGGCCCCAACAGGGGAGGAGGGGGTTGTTTATGAGTTGCAGCAAGCAAGCAGGGGGTTTCCAGCCTGGCAAGCGTCTGATTGGTTAACACACGAAGAGGAATGTTTAAACTGATTGGTCCAAGTCAGATGTCTAACCTTCAGGAAATCTAAAACAACATCTGGAACTCGGGTATTTTCCTGCCTCCTACTGATTGGTTGTTGCTAGGGAGGTTACTCCATATTTGTGCCAATTGTACATTTTGTGCCAATTGTACATTTTGTGCCAATTGTACATTTTGTGGTTTTTCCCGGAATAAGAGTTCAAGGCTAGGTCAGCTTAATACAAAATGAAAGTTTTACACAAAATGGAGTCGCTCTGGCCCTTCAATCCTTCTTCCTCTGACAGATACCTTGAAGGCCCAATCATGGGTCTTTTCTGAGCCCACATTCTCCATTACCTATGTTATATAGGGAATAGTAATAAGTTCGCATTACTATCAGCTGAATGGCCCCTAATCGTTCTTTTTATGAAGGTGACTAGTTTGTTCAGAATACATGGTCCAAAAGTTAAAAGCATAATCAAAATGAGAAGGGGTTTGCTAAGCAGGGTTGAAATTAGGGCAGTCATCCAGGGGTAACTATTAAACCAGGACTGAGACCATTCTTGTCTGGCCCTGTATCCTTTTCCCCTTGTGGCCAGACTTCTCTGACTTTGGTAAGGGACTCTTTTACAATTCCGGAATGGTCTGCATAAAAACAACATTCTTCCTTTAGGGCTACACAGAGACAACCCTTGGCAGAAATGATAAATCTAATCCCCTCCTATTTTGTAGGACTACTTCCGCTAGGGAGGTCAAGGACTCTTGTAGATGGGAAACAGATCTTTCTAGGTCCTGAA